GGCAAATTTACTTTCAGTATTTTTGCCGTTTCCTCGGCTCTCGATACTTATGTAAACCAACGCAAGACGGTCTGCTGCCAAATCGTCTGCAACTGAGTTCGAACCCGGTTTCCCGGCATTACGAAGCGCGTTCGCAACGCCTAAGCCACAGACACGAACTGTACAGGTAAGTAAAGGTCCCTTTTCTACGGCTGTAGGCGTATTGGGAATATAGGACACTTGGTGGGTGATGTGGTAAGAATCACGCCGGCCGCCTTTTCTTCCCAGGACTGCACCTGGTACCCACTCCAGGCTGGGTCGATCTAGGAGTCAAGGTCATTTTTGACAAAAGTCCGGCTTCGGCAGGACGTGAACTCACGACCTTCCGATCCGCAGGCGGGCGTCTAGCCACCAACGCCACGGCGACTCCTGACTTTACAGGTATACTAATATATGTTCACGATCTGATGAACTACCCGCCCGGCTCGCTAGCGTAGTTGGCTAAACCGGATTGCGCGGTGACCGGGTGACGAACTCCTTGTGGTCCGGGTTCACGCCCGGGGGTATGCAGAAAGCCACATTTCTCCCAGATTGACGGTTTTTATCATGAAATCAAGGCCGAAGGGTTGCGATATATCTAAAATACCGAGCCTAAGGGTTAACAACTCATGGCTTCTGGATACTAAATGGACTACCTACACAGCTGTTGTGTTTAGTATCTGATAGAGAGTTGAGGTCAGCCTGGACGGTGTCTCCCATGGGGAACAACTGGTTTCCACCTGAAAAGACCCATGAGTTGTTTCTGTTGTTATGAGTGTTTCTACTTGCTGTCACGTAAGGCTCGTGAAAAGACGTGCATACTTTCAAAGTGAATTGGTAATTGAAAATAGACCTTCCCAAAGTTTTCGTTGTCAACAGATCCAGTACAGGTGTCGATTAGTCCGCTTACTTGGACATCGTTAGTTCAAGAAATGGTTAGAACCGCTACAGAGAAATAAATACAAGAAAATCTTTGTCAAGAACCGTTGGGACAAGTGATCTCAGCTGGAACATGGCTGTTAACGTTGACGAAATGAGTTATTTCACATTTGAAGATGATCCTCTGTTGGTATGTACGTCTTTGTTGTACATGTGGGGTATGTGCGTGTGTGTTGTACAAGTGTGGTATGTGCTTGTGAGTTGTACATGTGGGGTATGTGCTTGTGTGTTGTACATGTGTGGTATGTGCTTGTGTGTTGTACAGATGTGGTATGTGCTTGTGTGTTGTACAGATTTGGTATGTGCTTGTGTGTTGTACAGATGTGGTGTGTGCTTGTGTGTTGAAAAGATGTATGTGCTTTTGTGTTGTACAGATGTGATATGTGCTTGTGTGTTGTACAGATGTGGTATGTGCTTGTGTGTTGTACAGGTGTGGTATGTGCTTGTGTGTTGTACAGATGTGGTATGTGCTTGTGTGTTGTACAGGTGTGGTATGTGCTTGTGTGTTGTACGTGTGTGGTATGTGCTTGTGTGTTGTACGTGTGTGGTATGTGCTTGTGTGTTGTACAAGTGTGGTATGTGCTTGTGTGTTGTACAGATGTGATATGTGCTTGTGTGTTGTACGTGTGTGGTATGTGCTTGTGTGTTGTACAGATGTGGTATGTGCTTGTGTGTTGTACAGATTTGGTATGTGCTTGTGTGTTGTACATATGTGGTATGTGCTTGTGTGTTGTACAGGTGTAGTATGTGCTTGTCTTGTACATGTGTGGTATTTTTTTTGTGTACAGGTGTGGTATGTGCTTGTGTGTTGTACAGATGTGGTATGTGCTTGTGTGTTGTACATGTGTGGTATGTGCTTGTATGTTGTACAGGTGTGGTATGTGCTTGTGTGTTAAACATGTGTGGTATGTGCTTGTGTGTTGTACGTGTGTGGTATGTGCTTGTGTGTTGTACGTGTTTGGTATGTGCTTGTGTGTTGTACGTGTGTGGTATGTGCTTGTGTGTTGTACATGTGTGATATGTGCTTGTGTGTTGTACATACGTGGTATGTGCTTGTGTGTTGAACATGTGTGGTATGTGCTTGTGTGTGGTACAGATGTGGTATGTGCTTGTGTGTTGTATAGATGTGGTATGTGCTTGTGTGTTGTACATGTGTGGTATGTGCTTGTATGTTGTACAGGTGTGGTATGTGCTTGTGTGTTAAACATGTGTGGTATGTGCTTGTGTGTTGTACGTGTGTGGTATGTGCTTTTGTGTTGAACATGTGTGGTATGTGCTTGTGTGTGGTACAGATGTGGTATGTGCTTGTGTGTTGTATAGATGTGGTATGTGCTTGTGTGTTGTACATGTGTGGTATGTGCTTGTATGTTGTACAGGTGTGGTATGTGCTTGTGTGTTAAACATGTGTGGTATGTGCTTGTGTGTTGTACGTGTGTGGTATGTGCTTGTGTGTTGTACGTGTTTGGTATGTGCTTGTGTGTTGTACGTGTGTGGTATGTGCTTGTGTGTTGTACATGTGTGATATGTGCTTGTGTGTTGTACATACGTGGTATGTGCTTGTGTGTTGTACATGTGTGGTATGTGCTTGTGTTGTACATGTGTGGTATGTACTTGTTTTTAGTACATGTGTGGTATGTACTTTTCTTTTGTACATATGTGGTATGTGCTTGTGTGTTGTACATGTGTGGTATGTATTTTTTTGTACAGGTGTGGTATGTACTTGTTTATTGTACAGATGTGGTATGTACTTGTTTGTTGTACATGTGTGGTATGTACTTGTGTGTTGAACGAGTGTAGTATGTACTTGATTGTTGTACATGTGTGTTATGTACTTGTTGTACGTGTGTTGTCTGTACTTGTTTGTTGTACATATTTAGTATTTACTTGTGTGTTGTACGTGTGGTAATTACTTGATTTTTGTACTTGTGTGATATGTACTTGTTTTTTGTACGTGTGGGGTACGTACTTATTTGTTGCACGTGTGTGGTATGTACCTGTTTGTTGTACATTTGTGGTATGTACGTGTTTGGTGTACATGTGACGCATCTACTTGTTGTACATGTGTGGTATGTACTTGTTTGTTGTACATGTGTGGTATGTACTTGTTTATTGTACATGTGTGCTATGTACTTTGTTGCCTTGGGTAACATTGGGGATATTTTGCAGGCCTAACCCCCCCCCCCCCCCACCTCCATTCTCTCCACCTCTGCCTACACCGCAAGAGTAGTAAATACATAGCAGAAAATAGGAAGAGCGGATGACGTGTCTTTTAGGCAGTTTTGTAAGCATAACTGACAGGAATCTAACATATGCGACCGGTACTTGTTACAAATGTGTATCATCATTGTAGCAGCATAGATACACATCATGGACTATTTAACGTGCACCAAAACACAGTAAAAGACTTTGCACTTAAATATTTTAAACATTTTTTTTTTACAGTAAAGCATGAGTCAAGATGAAAAAAATACGGAATATATACTTGATTTTAATATCGAATATGATCAACTCGATCTTCGCAGGAGCTACGGAGTTCGTGCTTCTGTGCAAAGATCCGATGCAGCAATATTTACGAGGCACAGAAGAAAGACAGTATGGTAGACGACGATGCAACAGACGTGCTGGTGCACGCAAAAAATAATCCTAAGTCAGAACTCCATTGCAAGTGTCATCTCCGCGTTCTTTCCTCCATTTGTCGGAGCGTTCGACAGAGAAACTGTCAGTGATTCATGTCCTTATTGGCTGATCGGGTTGTCCTCTCCTGGCTGCTACCTAAAGACTTAAGTACCATCTTGTGATTGAGGCCTCAGTCTAGATGGCAGACCAACAAGTCACATCACAGATAACCCGTTTAATCTTCAAAGACCCCCGTGTGGGTTCCGGTTCCCCATTGTAGGGGAAAACAAGAATAGACCCACTACCTCCCCAAAAGCATGTCGAAAGAGTCGACTAATTGGGGAGCTTCCATTGAAGTCGGAGTACATCTGCCGGAGAGGCAAGGAACCAACAGTCTGTATTCAAGAGACAGCTCTGTAAAACTGATGCACACGCAACACTCAGGTTCTGGAGCAGGACTGCAGTTCAGTAGTGGACAAGCAACCAGAACTTGCCGCCAGAGTGTACAGCTCGTGAACGAGAAGAAGAAGAAGAATCTTCAAAGAAGTTCAAATAAGAGTTCCTCTAAAGGCGACATTAGCCAGGAATAAGTTGACATCCTGTGTGAGTCAAGGCGTTAATGTCCCTACCATCATCTGATTATGAGCGGAAAAAGTAGTCACGTCCAACCAGCATCCCTGAAAAAAAAAAGGGGAGGGGGAGCTTTAGGTTATAAATGTGACTAGGTTATGTGCGCCACGTAAAAGGGTTTAGCAATTCACGCCACCAAAAGCCATGAAAAGGACTCCTGCAGTGTTGACACTGTCAAAGGTTAGGTAAGTTGCGTATCATTTACAGGACGTTGCAGAAGCAACCCCAACAGCCCCTGGCTGTTTTGTGGTTTTTCTAGGCAAATTTACGTTCAGTAGTTTGCCATTGCTTCTGGACGGTCAGCTTTCTTGATACCACCGTCGAAACCAACGCAACTCGCGTGGCCCGCAGCTGGGATCGAATCCGGCATCTCGGCCATTACGAAGCGTTCGCATCGACTTAGCTACAGAGCCGACCTGTCAAAGGAGAAAGACCTAAATACTCTTCCGACCGGCGGCGATGTCGCCTACCAGCGAGCCAGTGCGCGATCCGGTTGCTGATGTTCATTTTCGTACATCAGGATTAACTTTATATGTATTTGTCTCATGTCTGTTGACGAAGACATAAATGCAAATTGTTCCTCTTCTTTGCTTTGACCGGCTGTAAGCTCCAGTGGAAGGTTCTGATTGTTCGTCCACTTCAGACGCTAGTCTTGTTCCAGAACTTGAACTCTTCATACATAGATTTGGCTTATTTGTATGGAGTTAAGGCTTCCTGACCTCTGACAGATGCACTCCGATTTCCAAGGTAACACCCCTAATTAGGCTACTTTTGCGACATGCTCGTTTAAAAGTCAGTATTATCTCTTCCCCCCCCATCCCCCCCCACACCCCCAGCCCCACACCCCCAGCCCCACACCCCCAGCCCCACACCCCCAGCCCCACACCCCCAGCCCCACACCCCAGCCCCACACCCCCATCCCCCACACCCCCAGCCCCACACCCCCAGCCCCACACCCCCAGCCCCACACCCCAGCCCCACACCCCCAGCCCCACACCCCCAGCCCCCCCACACCCCCAGCCCCCCCACACCCCCAGCCCCCCACACCCCCAGCCCCACACCCCCAGCCCCACACCCCCAGCCCCACCCCCCCCCCCCCACCCCCCCCCCACACCCCCAGCCCCACACCCCCACCACCCCCAGCCCCCACACCCCCAGCCCCACACCCCCAGCCCCACACCCCCAGCCCCACACCCCCAGCCCCACACCCCCAGCCCCACACCCCCAGCCCCACACCCCCCAGCCCCACACCCCCAGCCCCCCACACCCCCAGCCCCACAGCCCCCAGCCCCACACCCCCCAGCCCCACACACCCACACCCCACCCCCCCACACCCCCAGCCCCACACCCCCAGCCCCACACCCCCAGCCCCACACCCCCAGCCCCACACCCCCAGCCCCACACCCCCAGCCCCACACCCCCAGCCCCACACCCCCAGCCCCCCACACCCCCAGCCCCACACCCCCAGCCCCACACCCCCCCCACACCCCCCCCCACACACCCCCAGCCCCACACCCCCAGCCCCACACCCCCAGCCCCACACCCCCAGCCCAACACCCCCAGCCCCACACCCCCAGCCCCACCGCGACACGCCACAAAGAAACCCCAGTACACATAAGGGGAAATATAGAAAATAAATATGCAGCCTTTATTTATTTTTTTGTCTTCCACAGGCTGGCACCTGGAAGCCATACGTAAGTCTTGCTTTCATAACAGCACTGATAAAGGTTTACGACTGTTGTTTGTATCGAGTCAATCATTGAATTGAAGTACTGAGGAAAGGTAACATTTGAATTGTCCTCATTAATCAGCAGATCCTTTCGTCGAGCTGCCAAATAGGTACTGCTCAAATAGGTACTGCCCAATTAGGTACTGCCCAATTAGGTACTGCTCAAATAAGTACTGCCCAATTAGGTACTGCCCAATTAGGTACTGCTCAAATAAGTACTGCCCAATTAGGTACTGCCCAATTAGGTACTGCTCAAATAGGTACTGCTCAAATAGGTACTGCCCAAATAGGTACTGCCCAAATAGGTACTGCCCAAATAAGTACTGCCCAAATAGGTACTGCCCAAATAGGTACTGCCCAAATAGGTACTGCTCAAATAGGTACTGCTCAAATAAGTACTGCCCAATTAGGTACTGCTCAAATAAGTACTGCTCAAATAAGTACTGCCCAATTAGGTACTGCCCAATTAGGTACTGCGCTGGAGTGAGATACCATTGAGAGAAACCACATTACCATTTGTGGATTTCTAGACCTAGCTGTGAAGTTACATCAGATATATTTAATTTATCTTGCATCTGGCTGTGTGAGTGGGACACAGAGACATATCATTCGTGAAGTTCATGTCCTCGAGTTGTTTTGTAAAGGTCCACCTAATTCCATTCCTGGTCACAGTGGTTGCTAACTTCATAATTTAATCTACTCAAAATTAAACAAACAAAAAAATTAAAAATTAGAGAGACGACAAAAGGCATCCCATTCGCATACCTGTTGTAATTTTAGATGTATCTGTTAGCTTTCCTTCATGAACTCGATATTTTATATCGTTACATACTGCTATAACTAAGTTAATAATGTTCTGTAGCATTTCGTAGTGCCCTATCAATTTCCAGAAAGTATCCTAGTCCAGCCCTATATGCCCATTAAGCATCAAGGCGTGGAAACGGATCCGGACTGGTCATATAAAATGAGGCTACTTAATGGACGTCACCTTGCCTAGCGGCTAGACGCTCTCCTGTCCACCCCAATATCTGTGGTTCAAATGTGCCTGAGAGTGAGGAACCAACAGTCTGCATACAAGTATGCAATAGTGTAAAATGGATGTGCACTCAAAATCCAAGTTTTAAAACAAGAGTAAAGTTCAAAAGTAGGCGAACAACCAGAACTTTCCGAATGAGTTTACAGCCGGTGACGGCTAAGGAGGAGGAGGAGGAACGTCATGATCGTTGACAGGACTGTCTGTATCATATTTGTGCACATTTTTTTAAATGTCATTTATTTATTTATATTTTTTTAAATTGAGTTTGAATGTACTATATTTTTGTCACTTGGATCTTGTAATTTCTACGCAAAAAGAAAAAGTGTATCACTAAAATATATTCGAGCCAGCTGGCATATTTGTGTTGTCCAGCTGCATGTATGACGGACGGGTGGACGGGCGAATGGTTGTGTGGAGGATGGAGAGATCGATGAATGAAGGTAGCTAAAGAAAGAGGTCAGAATATTTATTTATATGTAAGAATATTTAGTTTTAACTGACATATTTTTTGTGTGTCCTGTAACAGAATGAACACAAGTTTGAGCTTGTCAAGCCAGACTTGGGTAGATCCACAACGGCGAAAGTAAGCTTCTAAAACATCGTTTATACAAAATATTACGAGTGTACAAAAAAAGTATGCGTATTTATATAGAAAAGTGTGTGTATAGAAATTATGTGCACACAGAAAAGTGTATTCAGAACAATGTCTGTACAGAAATGAGTTTATAGGAAAGTGTGCGTGTATATAAAAAAGTGTGTTTATGTGTGCATGTTTTGGGTGTGTGTGGGCATAAAGGTATCAGTGTGTGTACTGTTGTGTATGCGGCCTTAAATGTGATCTGGAATTTAGTTTCAGCTTAATAGCAAACGGGTCACCCCATAGTTGCTCCGCTCCTGTGCCATCGAAAAACACACAGAATGTTTATCACAGTACCTTGTGGAAAGATTGACAGTCTGATGTCTCAGCATATGCACTAGCATACGCACGCATTAAAAGCAAACGGTAGCCATCCGAAGTGCTAACACAGACAGTCCGACATTAGAAATGCAATTCATCATGGATGGTAGCAGAAGTCACCAACAGTTGCCCACATGATCAATTTTAATCACACAATGACACCATCAATATTGCGACAATACGAATCGCGCCATTTTCTGAATACATAATTCACACCACCACGTTGGTCACAGTCGAAAAACATTCCAAATGAAATCAGCAGCTCACAGTGTCACGATATGCACTCAACTCAGAAGCTGGGAGACTAAACTATATCCTTTCATTCTTCAAATGGAGCAAAAATGCAACTGCCACCACCTGGCAAAAGCAAAAAAATTTGCTACGGCTCAAAACAGTAGCCGTGCCTGGCGTCCATTTTGACAGGAAGGCTATAAATGTATGTCTGTATGTTACGGTGTATATGCATTTGTGTAAGTATGTTTCAATGCTGTGTGAATTGTGATTTGTTTTTGTCTTATGTTTTGCCTGTCGTGTCGTGTACATTACTTTGTTTTAAGTTTGTTACGTTATGTGGTATGTTGTGTACGTTTGGGTTAATATACGTATGTGTGATAAAAAATGGATGGGGAGACATATACAGAGAGAGAGAGAGCGAGTGAGAGAGAGAGAGAGAGAGAGAGAGAGAGAGAGAGAGAGAGAGAGAGAGAGAGAGAGAGAGAGCAGTTTCCTTAGGTCGTCCATGTTTCGCTTTTTTATGTATGGCGAGCTGTTCTGACAAAAGTGCCACGACGCCTTCCGCAAATGTTCAAAAAATCTCCATTTTCTTCCTTTGATAACTTTTGCCAGTGATAAACATTTTATTTTTCTCCTAAGTTAATTTTATGATTTTGTTTTGCGTAAATTATCTTTAGACATTTTTTTTTTTAAAATAGTGTCTAATTTGTGTACAGTTCCGACAAAAATGTACTAGGCAATAATTGGTGCAAAGTACATTGTGTGCTTTGGTTGTTTACATATGCACCAGGAGACTAGTTCTTTGATTTTGGCCTATTCTATCACTAGGTGGATCTGGTTAAGCATAAACCATCTGGATTTCTGGGCGTCATGAAGATTTACAGTAATAATCTGAAAAAGCTGAAGTCAGAGGTCAACACGCTGATGGTTGCCAGGGACAGCCCTTTCCTGTTACATCTGATTGACAGATTCATCTCGGCTGAAGACAGTCCAGAAGGGGCTTCTTCTGCCCCTGCCGGTGTAGGCTTGACGGTAACAACTATTTTACTCAAGTCTAAAACGTTATAGGGCAGTGATTCCCAAACTGTGCGCCGCTGCACCCCGTAGAGCCGCGACCATCTTCGAAGATACACTAGTTTTATTTATTCTTTTCTCTTACAAACGAATAGTCACACTTTTACTTAGGTTAGGGCACCATGGCCAAATTTGAATTTTGTTTTTTTAAAAGGCCCCGCGACTAAGACAAGTTTAGGAAACACTGTTATAAGGCATGCATTTGAGAGGATCGACTTCATTGAACCAATCTTTATCCCACGAGACTTGGCCTTTGTCGGCGGAATGGCTAGCCGCCTTTTGAGAACGTCGTACAATGTACGTGTCACATATCACTCCTGTCGCGTGCCTAATGTAAGGATTTCTCCTTCAAAACCAACAGCAATCAGAGATAATTATGTTGAGTCGTTTGGCTCGTATTGGTCTAAGGGATTCCCCATGGCCAATATACGCTCAACTTATCTCTGGAGTAGGGCAACTCAAGTATTGGCACTACAAAATATGTCAGTATATGAATACAATATTTCTAGGCACACTTGGCTGGACACCCCCACTACTTACTAAAGAAAGCCCCCAGGTTATGATAAGTCATTATCATAACCATGTTAACACATATAGTTAGGATTCATGCACACACAAATGCTACACATTTAAAAAGGTGAAATAGAGAAACCTAAGTCAGCCATGAAAATGAATGCATGTAATCATTACAACATGTACAAAATAGAAAATAGTGAAGTAGATGTCAAAACACAACAGCTGGATTCCAGAATACAATGACTATAATCAACCAAAGTTAAACAGTCAGAAAGTCCTGGAGGAAGCATATATTCATCCTTGGAATCCAGTGGAGCTGTAGGGAATATAGCATAATCGAGACATAAACTTCACTTATCCCAGTTCCACTGTTGATGCCTCACTCAGCTCCGGGTGAATCGACTGTCTTTGACCCTGGTAATTCTGCTCAACTGGATCAGGTAATGGAAGAGTACCTCACCATATAGGACGCAGCAACTGGATAGGCACACAGCACCTTGATAGGCACACAGTAACTGGATAGGCACACAGCAACTGGATAGGCACACCGCACTGGATAGGCACACAGCACCTGCTCCCACGAGTAACTCACAGTACTGTCCCTGAGTTACACACATGCTCTGGCACTGGATGATGTTTGGGTTATATTGTACCCCATCTTGAGGAGGACAGTCTTCTCAATTGGTAGTTGGGTGATAATAAGTAGGTGATGGGTTAATTGATTGATGGGTTATGGTTATGGTTGGTGGGTGTTGGTTGGACTGTGAATCTTCTGCCAGCTCCTCACAAAGGATTCACCCTGCCAAGAAATAACTCAGAATTAGTCATCACCAAGAGGGTAACATCTTGACAGGAAAGACAGAACAAGCATCAGTCATATCTCACATCTGCTTACTCCACCCTTGCTCCCCTGTTTCATTCCTCAGAATGCCTCTCTAGACCAGGAGACACAAGTCCCCTATATTCATCTGTCTGTTTAGTGCAAGAGAAGGCAAGTCAGATATACAGTGGAGATAGAGTGTTCTAACACATATATCACTCTCCCCCCCCCCCCCTCCCCTCTGCACACAGACACCAATATTTACTGTCA